CTTAAAGAATCCGATAAATGTCACCTATGCTCTGAAAGACAAACACTGATCCACCTTTTCGCAACCTGTCTGAAAGTTAAGAGCTTTTGGTCTCAGTTTACTTACTGGTGGATTTCCAAAAACTCTGAGCCAATGACTCTTGATGAAAACAGGATAATATATGGTGTTACCAATGGCTTCTCTCGTCGACTTGGTTTAAACCTCTGCTTGATTATTGCAAAACACTATATTTACACTGCCTTTAGAGAAGAAGAAGAAGAGTACTACTGGGAAGCTTTCATGGCCATCCTTGCAAGTAAACTTCAAATAGAGAAGCACAAATCTAAGAAACAGATAAAGTTGTAACAATAAATAGAATATCAAAAATGGATATAACAACAAACCGAAAAAAAAAAGGAGCCACATTACTGGCCATTGTATATATTAACTCTATTAGTTTAGAAAAAGGAACCTGTTCTCCGTCTTATTTTCTTTCTCGTACTTATTTCTTCTTGTACTTTTATCTCTTTTTTTTTTCGTAAGTTCTCACTTTTGTTTTTTTGTACTCCTATAATGACTTGTAAGTAAGTTATGTATTGTAATGTATTGTTATGTCATAGGTTATAAATAAAACATATTAAAAAAAAAAAATTGCAAGAATGTCAGTGTGATTTATTCACAAATTGCACTGCATTGTATGTTTGCTCTAAATGGTAACTTTTTCTGTTTTGCATCAAAAAAGAGGTGTATTTAAGCATCTACGTTTGAACTTTTTTAACAATCAAGCCACTGGATCAGTAACATACTGTATATCTACTGACCAAAATCCTGTATTCAGGCAATTAAATCAAATGCGTGATTTCAAAATGGATGTAATAAAGTGGCAAATGAACTTTGTGTCATGCAATTTTTGTCTGGAATCAGTGCCCTCCTTTGATTTTGAAATCACGCCTATGATATCAGACTAAATTGCATTCCATCTTGTTAAGGAATTTAGGATAGTCACTTATTTTTTTCATAGGGCTGGCACCTATTTTTTTGTTATTAACATCATAGGCACTCATACTCTGTTGCTGAAGGGAATCACCTGCTTCTAGACCTTCACCATCACAAGAAAGCTTGCAGAGCATTGTCCTTCTCATCAGATGGCTTGTGTAAGTAGTCACCTTTACTTTGACACTAATATGCACAGGGCTTGGAAAAAGTGTGATCTGGAAGTCCAGGACAAGTAGTTTTTCCTGCTGGGCAAGTAACTTTATATTCTCACTTGTCTGATAGGCAATCGCCCTGGTAAGTCATCTGCCAACTTAATAAAAAGAAAGGACTGACTTTCCCATGGCAAGCAACCTTTGAGAGATGCTGGTCTAAAGGGCAAGCTGGAGTTTTAAGTATTTTTTAGCCCTGTATGCATTGTATATATTTTATAGCGACTGTCTCCTTATTCAGGCCTCTGTAAAATAAATGTAGCAACTAGTTATAAAACTTAGTTCTAATGTAAATTTCCCTTTGCCCACTATTATGTTATTGAACAGTAAATATTCCAAGTTGTAGTTTATTGTTCATAATCATTGGACAGGGGTTTCAATTTAAGGTCTGGGCACTGTGAAAATTGACTGATTGTGAGGATGATATTGCCCACCTGGTCTGACCATCTGGAGGCACGTTTTTGTTACAAAGAAGCTCAGTTCAAAAAGTTTTGCCCACCTGTGAAAACCAGTTGCCCTCCTGTTGAAAATACAGCTGTAGGGAGCTTAAGAAACCCCGACAGCAAAGTTGAGGACAACATCGATTAAAAAAATGAGTTTATATTTTACCTACGAACCTCCAGAGCCATTTAATTTGTTTATCACTGTCAAAGCTATCACGAAACTGAAATTAGGACACATCGATTAATTAGCACTAAAAATTTAACAAATTACCTATCGTGGTTCATGTTCTCCAGACAATGCAGAATTTGGTAATTTCACATTGTTGTTTTGCAGAGGACGGCAAAGAAATGTACCAAGTATTATAATGCATGTGCGCAGCCATTGTTCTTCTCATTAAACCTTTTGGTTAGCGATGTTGCCATTGCCGTTGCTGTTGTGGTTTTGTTAAACTCCCTAATGTCAATGAAAGCCCTGATTCACTTCACTTCACTTAGCTTCTTTGTGCCTCGTGGCACATAAGGCCTCCACAGAATGCCTCCAATTTTCTCTGTTGGTTGCAGCAGGAAAGCCCTGATTAGGTGAATGTTTTTTTTTTGTGTTGTGTAGACCTTTTTACAGCATCTAAAGACAAGTCAGTGCAGGCTGTTGATATGAATTCAGGAGCAGTTGCCCATGTAATTAATAGAGCACACAGGTACATTTTGTGTTATGTTAAAGGCAAATGCAATTTGTCCTCTTGTGATTGAAAAAATAGTCTATAGCAAATGGAGTTCAGAACAACGTAAACATATAAAACAGCAAATTTTAAGTAAAATTTTATCACAGCAGTTTTCACTTGAGTGTCTAACTTGAGTGTCTTGCATTTGCTTTCTTTTTGCACTGCTAACTCATAGGAGCTCAGTCGCTGTATTTTTGAATTATTTTAGCCAGGTACAAATTTACCTTCAAATTTAAGGAAACCTGAAGATAGTAGTTTACTACTAAGATAGAAAAACACCAAAGAGATATTAAATAAATGAACCATACACCATAAATGAAAGGCTCACTTTTGTTTACCAGAACAAAGGCCCCACTCGTTTTATATAAATTTATTACAAGCCACAGATATGACTTTTCAATGTAGAAGTAAACTTCTGTTTCCTGAGAGGTCCACTAAAGTGATTGATGGCAACAAAGCACAAAACCATTGATAGAGCAGAGTTTGTGTTATTGAATGGCATACTTTAGTGCACTCATGACTTACCTGTATTATAATGTGTGTTTTTATTTCTGTGATTTTCAGTTCCCCTGTTTACTGCATCAAGGTTATAACTGACAGCCTTATAGTGACAGGTGATGACAATGGCTGTGTCAAGGTAAATAATTTTGATATATGTAAAATTTTTGAAAAAACATATTCTTATAATAGGTTCAGCTTCTCTTACTTAACCTTTTTTCAGATTGTTTCATGCTTCAACTCTCACTGCAGTTTATTTTTGGGGAGCAGGGATGGTGCAGTGGTGAGAGCACTCGCCTCCCACCAACGTGGCCCAGGTTCGATTCCAGCCTGGTGCCACAAGTGGGTAGCATTTGTCGTTGGTTCTCGCCTTGCTCCGAGAGTTTTTCTCCAGGTTCTCCGGCTTTCCTCCCTCCACAGAAGCCAACATCTCCAAATTCCAATTTGACCAGGATAGAGGACCTGCATGAAACCCGGCTAAGGCTGATGTGGCCTCCTCTCAAAATATTGTAATTTATTTTTATTTTTATCTTATTATTTACTTGTTTAGCTAGTTCTAAATGTAACTATCTTTGGTTGAACATTACTATACATGACTTCCTTTTAAAATAGCCTACTTGTACAGTATATTGCAGAATGGTGTTCTTCCAGAAAACTGGCATGACACTCCCCCTTCGGACAGTAGTTTAACTTGGGACTTTCCTTTAAACTTTTGTGGTTGGAGACCTGCTACCGCTCAAAATGTTTGACTGTATTTCGAACTGGGCATGGATATTTTCTGGAAGCACACTGTAGGTAAAGTTGTGTTTTCTGCTGTTTTTTTGCAGTTCTGGGACACAAGGCAAGCAGCGTGTGTATTGACAGTAGCAGATAATGAAGACTTTATCTCTGACATGGCCTGTGATGCAGAAAAACGGACGCTTCTAGCGACTAGGTACAATGGAAACATCCCTGGCTGGGGACATTGTGTTGTGTTCTTGAGCAAGATGCTTTACTCTCACAATGCCTCTCTCCACCCAGGTGTATAAATGGGTACCGGCTAACTTAATGCTGGGGGTAACCCTGTGATGGACTAGCATCCCGACCAGGGGGGAGTAAAAATACTCCTTGCTGCTTCATGCTATGGAAACCGGGATAAGCTCAGGCCTGATTGGCCGCTTGGCTTGTGTGCAGACTTTACCAGTACACTGTCTACAATGCAATCTCAACTCAGATCAGTTATCAATAACTAACAATTAGGACATCAATGAGCTTAAGATTCTATGTTTGATTTTTGCTGAGGGCATAGCCTTACTCAGCAATAATGCATAGAAATCCAGAGTGAATAATCTAGTAATTGTTTTAGTATAAATCTACCGGGCATTTAAAATGTCATCTAATTGCCTAAATCCTCTTTTCAGACACGTCCAAAAATGCATAGAGCAGCAGCCATTTTGATAACAACCACACACTGCTTGGTTGCTCACCAGCTACTAAACAATTAGATTATGAGCTTGAGATTTCTATCGTGTGATAGTTGACTCGGGCTGCGCCCTCATCAATATCACATATAGAAATCGAGAGCAAATAATCTAATTGTTTTAGTATAAATCTACTAGTCATTCAAAACTATATCTAAATCCTCTTTGCAGACACTTTGAAAATGCCAAGAAGTGGCCGTCATTTTGTTAACAAGTGCACACTGCTATGCTACTCATTATCTGTCACAGAATAGATAGTGAGTAGCACAGCCAATCAGAGAATCGCTAGTAGATTTATACTAAAACAGAACAGATACAGAATAGATTTTTTTTATTATTTATTTATTTTTTATTTTATTTTAATTTATTGCAATAACGTTACATTAGATACAAAACAAAACAAAAAAAAATGGGATAGTGAGTAGTAGCCAATAAGAGAACAGCATGATTTGCCTTACAATAAAGTCTGGACCGGTCCATAAAACCTTAGGATGTGAGCATGCATTCAAATGAAAGCCGGGTTGAGGAGTAAATGTCCATGGAGCATTGTTAGGGGTTGGGAATGGTAAATGCAAGACTTTGTGAGAAGGCCAGACTGCGAGACCTCTGAAATTGGACGAAAATTTTGCAAGACTCGTGGATTTTGAAGGACCATTCACCACCCCCATAGTTTGTGATGCCACACGAGGAGGTTTTAATTTTCAGTCTGTAGATAAAATTGTTTTTTTTTGTAAAACTATTCAAAATGAAGCATAATATTTAACATCACTTTCATGTGGTCCTGTTTTTTAAGTTGAGTGGGCCATTAAGGGTCTGTGGATCAAACTTTAATTTTTCTACCAACAAGATTTTTGTAAAATTAATGTGCACCACTTGCACGTGATGTTTTTCTGTACTGTGGTACCTTACTGATAAGACAGGGCTGTAGCTAGAAACAGCACTGAAACCGAGGCACTTGTCCAGTCATATATTTCGTCTTTGTTGTTTATAGTCCTCATAAACACGCTAAATACCTATCAAGACACTTAAAGCATGGACATTGCCTCAGTCTTAATTCTCGACTGGGTTCTGATATATTGTTTTTTCTTCCCGCAGTGGTGATGGTACTTTGTCAATATTTAACATTCGGCGTCAAAAGATTGAACAACGGTCAGACAACATGGAAAGTGAGCTTCTCTCAGTTGCAGTGGTAAAGGTAATATATGTTGTTGGGTACAAGTGGGGAAAGTGTTGTGGTACATCAAGACAGGTCCTGAGTTCAAGTTGATGATTTTATTCTTCTCATCTGCTTGACAAAAACGAAATGCTTTATTTTATACGTTGAAAGGTAAAAGGTCAAGCCTGAAGTCAAGCATAGTGGCCCAGCAGGCTGACATTAATTTTACAGTAGCTTCAGTTTCCATGGCACAAAGCAACTACAGTGCGGCGTCGACAAAAGCTGGATCGGATCACGGATCGGATCACGGATCGGATCACGGATCGGATCACGGACCGGATCACGGACCGGATCACGGACCGGATCACGGATCGGATC